GCTTTCAAAATTGACAGAAATCGTTTAACAGGATTAACAGAGAATTGAACAGAAAATTAGCAGAAATCTAAGCTGACAACTTTTTTAATATTCTGTGGAATATACCGACACTTTCTTTATTTTCAAACTCGCAGATAAAACACTGCGACAATTTTAAAGATTTGTACGTTTCGCGGGAACGTCAACATTTATTTTAAATTCGTGGAATTTTTAAAAATTTCGCAACTTCTATGAAGTGCAACGTTTATTTCAAGTTTCTAAGTTTTCTAGGATGTCGCGATATCTTTTTAAATTCATAGAACGCTAAATTTGTAGCTTCTTTAGAATATTACCCAACTTAGAGTAGAGAGAGAGAGAGAGAGAGAACGATTTACAATAATTTTTTTAAATTTATCAATTCATAAATTGTTATATTCCTCTACTCTTCAATTTACTCTGAATTCGAGAAATTACAATATTCGTTATTTCCTTTACTTCTAGAGTGTTTAGTTTACTAGAACTAGAATATTGTGCACGCAAGTTTACGATCAATTAAAAGCCCAAAGAAGAAATAAAATGTTACAGTTTATTCAATGAATATATCAGGGAGTCTTATTCAATATCAAACTTTCAGATCATTTTAAACGTTGTTCAATAACTTCAACACTGTCATTATCATTTCATAAGACATTCAACTGTCGTGCGCGCAGTATCCTTAAAAATTTCCAGTTTAATCTCAAGTTTAATCCCTTTTCACCGATTTATATGTCGAAAATCAAGCCAAAAACTCGAATGGAATTCTCGTCGTGTTACGCAGACGCTTTAAGAATCGTTGTTTCACTGTGTGACGAAGCGTCGTCCTAGTTAGCGATTTCTCTTTTCAGACGATGTTAAAAAAAGAAAAAAAAAAAAAAAACAAAAATAGAAGAAGAAGCATCCGACGTGTTTTCTTTCCGACCGTCGTCTCCATCTTTCTTCCCTCGTCGCTGCTCCTCCCATTGTTTCTCCCTCTGTGTGTAAGCAAATAACGCGAGACGCGCGACAATGGTTGGAAACTTGGCCAGGCTGTCACAAAAGGTCGATTCTTCGCGGAGTGTCCACGAGGATTACATTGAGCGTGATTTCACGCTATCAGACGGCGGTAAAAAGGAACTGGGGCGGACGTCCGGCCGTCTCGAAAGTCCGCGAAATTCAATCGGCGCGCGCGTAGCTCCGTGTCGGCCGGGGTGTCAATTCAAAGCAACGTAATCTCCGTTCAGCTCGGCCAATAATCGGCTTATTGATTTCGATTCGACGGCTAAAACACCGTCCACAACAACGCTCGACGTGAGCTGCTTTTTCCTTTTCTCTCTCTCTCTCTCTCTCTCTCTCTTTTTCCCCGCCTTTCTCCGTCCTTTTTAATTGACAATCGAGCATTGCCGAGCAAGTGCGAGGTTTTTCACATTTATTTTTAGCGGCGGACGATCCCGAAGCGCGGCGTGTATGGAAATGAATGTAATATTCATTTTCCTAAATAGAAACGGACCGGTTTTTTCGTTCGCCACGGCCGGCAGGATTTTTTTAACAAATGGAAACGTTCCTTCATTGCCGGCGCGTTATCATTATCGCGGACGTTAGGTTTCATAGATTTATCGATCGTTGTCGGTTTCTATACAATAATTTTCGCGAACGTTTAATAGCGCTAATTAGTTACGATAATACGCTAATTTTCCTTCCTCTTTTTTTTCTTCGTTTTTCTTTTTTTTCTTTTTTTTTTTTCGTACGAAACCGAACGCACGAACAGCGATCTCTTTGATTGCATTTAATTGCCACGGCGATTAATTTACGTAGCGGAATATTCAAATTTCGATGGCGTTTCACGCTCGACGGGAAATATATTCGCTGCTTTGCCGCTTTTTGCCTGGCGTATCGGCGGATTTTGCAAAAGGTGGAACTCGCGCCGAGTGGTTTTTATGAACTTTCCTGAACGTCTGCCAATGTTTTTTCACGCGTTAAATTATGACGTTTCAAGGAAGTATCGCGCGTATTCCGGCGACACGTTGCTGCGGGTGCAATTAATAATGCAGATATTTGCACGGCGAAGCAATTCATTTGCGTTTTATTTTAGTATCATTTTGAAGATCAAAGAAGTGGAAGAATAATTAATTTCGAAGGATTTAATTTTTCTTCGTGCAAAGATGGAAATTCAAGAATTTCCAGGTAGAAGAAAGGGACGAAGCTGTTTTAGAATAATTATCGGATAACAGTCTTTGTTGAATAGTTGCAACAAACAGCTTTGAATGTTTCTTTTATTTACGCAAGTTTTTTGCTCTTTTCTTTATTAGACTCTTGGAAGGTTGTCCGTGTGGTTTCACTCTGGATTTCGAGCTTCGAATTCCCATGTAACGTTCCACTCGCAGTCTCAGAATACGGATCGACCCTACAAGCCGCAGAAGCTGTAAATGGTTGTCCATTTTAGAAAATTAAATTCCGGATAGAAGGGATCTCTCGTCGATTGATTTGAAATGTTTCAGTTTTCACTGTATATCTTTGTTTCGCTTTTTTTTTTTTTTTTTTTTTTTTTT